TTAGCATCGTTCAAAAATGTTGTGGCTCGATTTTATTGACTCATAATAATTGTACTTTTGAAGTAGGCACGACAGGCACGCGATAATAAAATACGCCGTTTTATAATATATAACTTATGCCTTATGTCAATTGAATCATAACAAATTTGGGAAAATATTTAAGGAACTATTATTACATACCTATATAATAATAGTTCCTTAAATGTATTGATTAATATATAAATTTTTAAATTTTTAAATTTATTATCTTGATGTTCCGGTAGTAGGTAAAAGTATCTAGATTAAATTTTTTTTTTCTTATTCCCCTCCTCACCATATAAGAACAAGATGTGTATATGTGCCACTGGTCTTATCACAAGAGTTGTAACCTTGTAACACGGAATAAATAAATGGTTGCGAGTATATAAATACTAAATACATATTTACGTAGTTACGCATAAATGTGCTGTCAATCTGGCTAACTTGAAACTTCAGTGACCAGTGTAACTTGAATTTTAAACAGTTTCATAAATTCATAAAAATAATTTATCATTATATAATATTACAGAAATATAGTATTAATAACTAAGTGAACCGTTTTTGGATTAAAATTGTCTTTATGTGTTTGTGATATAAAATATTCATTATTCTTATTAAATTAATACACAGAAATAATTAAAATTTTAGTAACTTTACAATCACTTTCAAATGTGTTCTAGATTTATATGGATGACATAAAATGAAAAATTTATTAATATTAAATAAAAAATAAATAAATACTAAATCCARTTTAATCACTCGAGCATTATTTGAAGTACAAAATAAAACTACAGATATTGAAAAAATACTTAATGACAATACAATAATGGATTTGCCCAAAACGACTTTAGAAAGTTTTAAAGATTTTGAGAGACAATTAGAGTCTGACATTAAACTTGTCAAAAAATTGGTGAATACTTAAAATTTGCAAATATTGTAACTAATTCATTTTTAATTTGTATTGTTAATTTTCAGATAATATTTATAATATTTATAATATTAATATTAAATATTATTAATTGACATAAAATTTTTATGTTTGTATATTTTTCATAAATTCCATAGGTAGTACCTAGTTYATAAGAATATTTATTTAATTGAAACTAAAAAAACTTTTTTTTTTGATTTTAGGTCACACTAAAAAAAGCAAAATTTAAGGTCACTTGAAACAATGCTACTACTGAGGTACTAACTAAATCTAGGTAGGTACCCAGGAAGTGGTATTTTTATAATTTTTTTAAATTAGCTAGTATTACCTAGTATTTAGGTACAAYACCTACTTCAATTGTTATTATATAGTTGTTTTAACTAAATTTTTAGTTAAATTATTTATTGAAATAAGTTTTTATTTATTTTATTTTATTTTATCTAGGAAAATCCTAAATCAYCGTTTTATGTAATTATTTTTTAAACGTTAAAGTTTTTGTTTGTTTTTTTTTTTAACAAATATATTATTGTTTCAACTTCAAATCACCATTTAAGTATTTTATTTGTAAATAATTAATAAAGGCGTGTTAAAATAAATGTTTGATGTCACCCAAAATATCGAGTGACTTAAAACAATAACAGTTTTTTATTTTTTTTTACCCATCGACTTTTGGGCTTAACATTCTTTATTAAATATTAAGAGATTTTACTATTTTAGTTACGTGACATCAAATTATTTTAATTATTATTCTTATAGCTCAGAATAAGAAAAAAAAATTTAGAATCGTTCCTATACATAGTCACCGAAATTATCGATGTTGTATCTATTCTGTGGTGTAGCGTTTAATGATGTACACGATTATAATATTATGATAATATTTAGTCACGCAACAGCAGTAGCAGTAGTAGCAGCTGCGACTGGAGTTATCACGTCCATGATAAGAAATTAAAAAATTATATGGCTATGCCTGTACGTCGTATTATTCAGTATTCTTCTCAGTTGTAACATAAACTGCGACCGATAATGTTGTTTGTTTTTTTGATATTTTTTTCTTTTTGTTTACATAATAATGTAAACGTAAAATAATCGCTTTTTCTACTGTTGACTTCATTGAAATTTACTTCAATTTAGTCACTGTCTACCTCTCTACCTTGGACGACATTATTAGGACTAAATGGACTGATACGTGAAACTGTCGGATGTCGATGTAATTTTGACATCTATTACCGTCGTGGGTAAATAGTAAAAACTCTTATTGTTTGGTAACGGATGTATCTACAGAACAACACGGGTAATAATTAATAATAGATTTACGTAAATGGATTGCCTACCAATTACTGTTGCAACGTGATCGCATTAAACCACTTGTTGATCTGTTTTAATAGTCATTATAGCCCATACTCTATAGAGTGTACTAGAGTAAAGAAACACTCTCAAAACCATCTCGTCAACACAACAATGGTCACAATGTAAAACGTACTCAATACTCATACTTCGTTTCATCGTTTCAATAGTGTAATGAAAATAATATTGTAATAATTAATATTTTAGTATTGCAGTAACACGATTTATTAGTTTTTGCTACGTATTTAAAATAAAAGGTCAACTATGATAATAGTACCCATGCACGAATTTCTCAATCAATCTTTGTCATAACTTATTGAAAATGGATTAGTTATAGGATGCACCACATTACGTCATTATAATAATTACCTACATTAAATATGGTAGATACTATAACATTTTTAGTGATTGACCAAACGTATAGAGATTTGTTTGCTTTAAGGAAATTTTGTATTTTGAATTTAATAATTGGATATTTATTACTTTATAGTTGATTAAAATGGCGGAATATGCAGAGTACCAGCAAAAAACCATGGATAATGTTTTAAATTTTAACTACGGTGTCGAATTATTCCCTGGTTCMAGTCATAACCCAATCATTAAAAAAAATACTCGAGAAGAAGCTTTGATTAAATTAAAAAAATTGCTCAGGAATAATGGATTTGCTTTTCTAGCCGGTAAGCTATAATATGTTCTGTAATTTACCAATTTAAGAATACCTAAGCTAACTAATATTATTGATTATTATTATASTATATAAATCAATGTAATCCAATATAAATATTTATTTCTATGTCTTAAATGTTTGTTTATTAACTATAAATAACTATAATAAGTTGTCAAGTAATAATCATCATTTGTTTACAAGACAATTAGTCAATTATAATATTTTATTTAGTAGGAACTTGTCATTTGACTCTTATTATTATTTGAAATACTTATTAAGTCCATTCATAATTGAACTCTTTATTTAACAAGTGTTATAAACTACAGGTTAATAACCATTGTAGACTTATTAAGATGTCTTAATTATACTTATTTATTATAAGGTAGTAATTCGTAAATAGCTGATAATTGTTGTTATTTTGTATTGCGTGATAATTCACTACTGTAATTTTAAGGCATTTCTAACTATTGAACATCACATTCATTAAATTCAATAGTTCTAATCTTACAAATAAAATAATGCACACTATATATTGTCGTAACCCTTGTTAATTTACCACCAAAATATATATTATAATACCACCTCAATGCCTGTTATGTTATAAGACCTATGTTCCTATGTGCATAGAAGTCTGCTGTCAAGCATGTTTCTAAACTTAAATAGGGTACTTTTATCTTGGTAGGAAAGTGTGTGTGTGTTGCCATAAAAGTCTAAAATGAAAAGAAATTCAGGGTTCATTAAAATATCAAATACATTTTACACAACATAAATATTATACATTATATATGTGAAATTAACCTTATTATAATTTAAATTCGTAACTTATAAATACTAATTTTTATATTTATAATAAATACTTACCTATTTTAGTTTAATAAGCATTTATATTTTATTCCTTTTTTTTCATCTGAATACTTAAATAATTTAATTACATTAAACATAATGGTTTTCATTTCATAGATTATATAAAAAGTAAAATAATTAATGTGTTTTAATAGGTCAAATATGT